CCACAGAGAGACAGGGGCCACAGAGAACACAGAAAGTCAGGGGCCACACAGAGACAGGGGCCACACAGAGACAGGGGCCACACTGAGACAGGGGCCACAGAGAACACAGAAAGTCAGGGGCCACACTGAGACAGGGGCCACACAGAGACAGGGGCCATAGAGAACACAGAAAGTCAGGGGCCACACAGAGACAGGAGCCACATTGAGTCAGGGGCCACACAGAGACAGGGGCCACATTGAGTCAGGGGCCACACACAGTTAATCTTGATCAAACAGGAAGTCCTCTCAGATGGAAGTCCTTCATCATCATCATCATCATCATCCTCCTGTGTTCTTTGGACCAGAACAGACGGAAGGTTCTAGTCTGGAGAGTTAAGATCAGCTTCTGATCTAAAAACATGTTGAAGCTTAAAGTGATTTAACAGTTCTGGTTCTGATCCAGTTGATGTCAGCGTCTCCAGTATCGGACCTTGAACCCTGAATCATCAGCATGTTGTCTTTCTGTTGTTTCTGGTTCTGAATAAAGTCTCTTCATGGTTCTGATGGTGGTTTAATCTTGGCTTCGCTGAGGTCCGGGTGTCAACAGAACCAGACAGAACGATTTAAAGTCCGGGATTATCTAAGACTGTTTATGGAGTCCAGAGGAGACGTTGGGATTAGGGACTGACCCGGTTTCCCACGGCAAGTTCTGGCTCAGTAGAAATAAACAGGAGAACATGAAGCTAAACAGGCTGTCAGAGGAAGAGCAGAACCAGAACCGGGTTCAGGGAAACACGGTTCTGTCTTCGCTGATTTCCGGGTTGGAGGTGTGGAGCTGGGAAAAGAAACAGAACCAATCAGCAGGGACGGACTGGGATGGATCCTGATCTTCATCTGCTACACAGACGTGATTCAGAACCAGTGCCGAATGCTGGGTCTCTGCTAACGCTGTTCACCAGGAGATTTCCTGGAAGTTAAACTGGATCCTGGACATTCCCAGCAGGAGAGAGAAGTTCGGATGGGACCACGGTCTAGAACCCTGCCTCCCTTAGACTATCGTCCAAAGCTGCTGATGTGGGCCTCCTTTACCTGCAGAACCTTCAGGAGTGCATCAGAGAACTGTGGCTGGTTCAGTCTGGTCCAGGATGTGTCTCCTGTACAGAGCCAGAACACTCAGAACGGTACCAGCCTGCCAGAGCAGACTGGACTGGATCTAGTTCCAACCATTCAGACAGAGTCTGGGTTTCTGGCAGAACCAGAAGCAGGAATTCAAAGAATCGGGGCGAAGCCCGGTCTGACATCAAAGCTCCTGTGTTCTGGGAGGGAAGATCCAGGTGGCAGAACTGGGATCAGATAAACCAGGTCCAGAATCTATTCCCAGAACCCCTCCTGGACCTGCAGCATCATTCACCATTGAGCTTCTCAGATGCAACAGCTACCAGGAGGAGTTCTGGAGTGGTTCTGAGATGCAGGCCTCAGGCTGCAGAGATCTTCTGCTGCATCTGATCCAAACAGAAACGCAGTGGGAAGCTCGCTCCGAGCTGCCAACTCAGGAGTGAGAATGATCGCCCACGAAGCAGAAACACACGATTCATCCTGAGCTCCTCCACCGGAACCAGAACACAGCCCAGAAAAGTCCCGCTTCAGAGAAAACCACAGAGTCTGAAGCTGCATGTTCTGCACCTCCTCTAGGAGCCTCCTGCAGGGGAACCCATGCAGCTGTGGGTTCTGCGCCTCCTCTAAGAGCCTCCTGCAGGGGAACCCATGCAGCTGTGGGTTCTGCGCCTCCTCTAAGAGCCTCCTGCAG